TTTTCGTGTATTTGATACAAAATTAATTGATAAGGCGTATAAGTTGAAAATATGAGTTACCAACTACTCTTTGTGTGATTTCCTTATTTTGGGGATTCCATTATTATCAATAGATTCGTGATATTTTTTTTATTATTCTATACAATCTAAGCTCTTTTAAAAAATTGGTCTATGGTTTAACTTATGATTTAAATAAAGATATAATCTCAATATAAGTTGTATTAATTGACTTGTTTAATGATTTGTGAATCATGTTGCTCGCGGTTTGATGCATCTCTTTTGTGTCTGAGTATACCTCCACATTTTATTGATTTCCTACACACACAAAAACTTATCTTAGTGATGATATTTTCCCAAATGCTCATAGTTTAAATTTGGGTATGATGATAGGGAGATATCTCGGTAGAGGCAACAGAAGACAACGCTTCAAAACGTTACCTTGCAACAGTAGATTCCGAGAGTTCTAACCTTTGGGGAGTAAACAATGAAGATGACCTAAAGCCTTGTTGGAGAAAATATATTAATCGTAAGTTATAGAATTTAATTTAGTCTTTATTTTGTTGTTCGATTAGCTCAATTTTAAATAAAAAACACATTCCTGCTTCTGATCTTTTTTATTTTTATTTTTTACCCACGGGAAGGGAGATTTGGGAGGCCTGGGGTAAAGTGGGATCAATCTCAGTCCATTGAGAATTGAACTCGGGACCTCCCAGGGAGAGTGAGTCGGCGACCAATTGAGCTGGACCGCTCCCTCTCCTCCTTCTGATCATTTATATATACACGTCGTTATTCATCACTGATGAATTAATTTAGTTACTCTATAAGTTAAAGTGATTTCGAATTTAATTTAACGACCCGAGCTCAACGAGCTTTGAGCTGAACACAGACTAGATTTTGAGTTCAAATAGTTATTCAAGTCAAGTTCGAGCATAGTGATATTTGGTTCGATCCGGACTCCAACCCGTTGATAACTCATAAGTTATAGGAATATATTTTATTTATCTTAAAATTTAAACATTTTTAGTGCAACTTTATAAATCTATTTAAACACTAAAAATGAGACTTAATAAATCTATTTTATTCAAGCCAAATTCGAGCTTAAATGAATAAAAACTATTTTATTATCTACAAAAAAAATTCAATTAATAATCAAACATAATTATAAAACTAAAAAAATAATACACAACATAATAGATTAAAAGAGTATTATAGTATATGTGGACGAGCGGACAACTAGACTCGGCTAGAGGCAGCTAGTTGGACTCGAATAGACTAAAGAGGCAGAGCCCCAACGAGCTACAGGCTGGAGTGCCTAAATATGGAGGGACGCTGACGGCCGACGTAGGGCCCGAAACAGGAGGTGGCGGTGCGGTTAGGCACCTGTGCTCGTGATTTCGTATCTTCGTCACTTTGCTGAGTTGAGTGCTTCTGACTTCTGCTTCATGCTTCTTAAAGTCGCTTTATAGCACAAGTAAATATACTTCTAGAGCTCTAAAATTCCAAATAGTAGTTCTAACTATGCTTGTTGCAAAAATTAGAAATAGATAATGAACTGAATAACTAAAAAAAGCATAATAATAATAATAATAACATAATTAATATATGACTAGATAAGTATAATGTATAAAAAGTGACTTAGTTATTTCAATGATTATAATTATGTTTAGATTATACAAATACAATGCTTATAAAAGTTACTCATAGTGACTTGGGTAAAACAAATATCTTAACTTAATGTTAATAATATTTTAGGAAAAACTCATGATAATAATAGAAGTAGTAGTAGTAATATTAATAGTATTATTATAATTATAATACGATTTATAACAGTGATATAATAAAACTATAATAATCGTCAAATTAATATAAAGTAATATTGTAAAATTAATGTTTAACATAAGCATCTTGTAAAATAAGCATCTTATTTTTAAGAGTAGATGGATGGTGTGGGTGAGTGGGTGAGATGGGATTGCACAATTTGCACCTTGCTCTCAACCTAGCTATATACTCCGTACAATACCACGTATGTATAATTTTCCTCTTCTCAAATTTTCCCACACCGACTGCATATGATAGTTTAGCATCTTGATTGCCCTACAAGTAATTCGCTTCATGCTATTATTGATGCAGGCAATGACCCCAAAGCTTATTAGGACCATTGGTTGTCATTGGTACGGGCTTTTAAATGTTTGGCCTGCCTTCTAAACTTCACAGAACACTTTCCAGTCATCTAGTGGACTTGGGCTGGGCTGAACAATAATTAGCGGTGGGCTGAAAATTAGATCTATTACTATACTAATAAAAAATAATTGGGTTGGGCTGGGCTGGAGCCCACCGCCGCCCATACATACATCTGCCCCTGGTTAATACTTGCATATCAGTTTAATAAAATATTAGGTTAAATTATTATAAGTAATTTTTTACTTTGATTTTATTTCTGAAGAGATATTAAATTAAAAAATAAACATTTTGATGTTAAAAAAATGTCGTTATTTTTTTTCTTTTTTCGGTTTTAATAAAACAATAAAATGAGTTCATGTAAATTTACTGTCACGGATTTTTCGTTTTTTCGTGACTAAGATTAATCAGGAATTAATTTTTTTCGGTTTAAAATAAAATATAGTCACGGATTAATGTCCGTGACTACTTCAAAATTTCAAAGATAGAAAACCGCGGTCTTTCAAAAATTTTGAAAATTTGAAAAATTGGTCACGGCTAAGTCCGTGACTAAGATGGCGGAATTTTTAAAAACCGGATTATATTAGTCACGGCTAGATCCGTGACTAGTATATAAAAATAGACAAAAACAATAGTCACGGCTCTGGACCGTGACTACTACGTCGGAGAAGTTTTCCGGTCTATTATTAGTCACGGCTGGCGACTGTGACTATTCCGTGACTACGTTTAGTCACGGTTAATGTGGCAGTGACTGTATTTAGTCACGCCCATTAAGTCACGGAATTAGTCACGGCTAGCGACTGTGACAACCTCTGTTAGTCACGGAAAATTTGAACTGCCGTCCGTGACTAAATCCGTGACTAAATCCGTGACTACGCGCGTGTTTTTTTGTAGTGAAAGTTCAGTTATTTGTTGAGACATCGTTAATTAAAATTTTATGTTTCGTGTTTTTTGGACCTGAACAACTACATCAGTTGAAACTTCATTTTTTTTAAACTTTATAAATACAATATTGGTGTAATATGAAAGATCATAAAAACTATGAATATTAATATCTTTTTTGACAAATTTAGACCACCATAAAAAAATCAGTCTTACAAAAAAAAGGATTCTTTACGTGGAGATGGCGTCAACATGACCTCACCCGCATAACACCAGCCTCATGTAGCTCTTTTCCTCCCCTTTTCATTTTCTTTGGGGCTTAAGGAGTGTTTGGGGTTCTTAAAAAAAGCACTTTTCAGTTTTTGGCTTAAAAAAAGTTGAAAAGAGTGTTTTCAAATGACAGCTTCTACTTAAATTAATCACTTAAAAGCTAAAAGCTGGAAGCAGATAGAACGGTGCTTTAAACTGCTTCTCACTTTTTCTATTACACAAAAAGTACTTATTTTACCAAACACTACCAACTTTTACTTTTTCAGAATCACTTTTTTCTCAAACACTACCAACTTTTACTATTAATCACTTTTCCCAAAATCACTTTAAAAAATCACTTTTTTAAAGTTGAAGCAATTGCAAACACTCCCTTAATTATCGATCTTCCCTCTATTTAAAGCCCTCACACTCCGCTTTCAACTTTTAAATCTTATTTAACCTCCAATCATCCAATGTAAGCTTTTAGAATTGACTCTGCTTATGTTTCTTTTTTTGTAAAAGAAGTAGAATCAGGGTCAATTTTTCAAAAGTTAGTCTCCCTCACCTTCTAAAGTCTTAGGTAGGGGTGAGCATATCAATTTTTATTTCGATTTTTATCAGTTTCGGTTCGATTTGGTACGGATTAGAAGAATTATTACGAAACCTATATTCACCCCTAGTCTTAACTAGAGCAAACTTAAACATATCAATTAGTACTCTAGTTGGCATATACATCCGAATAATGTTGTAACAAAATATTAATGGTATAGATTTGTTTTAATTTATACTATTATATTACTCCCTTCTTCCCGTGGGAAGGTTCCTTTGAATAAGTGGCACGATTTTTAGGCAAGTGGTTAAATAAAGTAATTTGGATAAAAAGAGAGAAAAAAGAAATTTTATTAAAAGTAAACATATAAAGTGAAAGTAACTAAAGAGAGATAAGTTGGGAGAGGTGAAATTGTGAGACTTAATATGTAATGAGTAGGAAAGAGAAATTTGAGTAAATGTATAATTAGGGCATCCTCATTGGTAGGATTATTATGAGATTAAGTTGGTGACATGGCAGGATTTTCAGAAAATTATCATTGAGTGACATAGATTATTTAATGGGATTATTTGCTACAATAATCCGGGATCAAAATATGAATCCAGATTATTTTAAGATTATTTGAAAAGTATATGTAATAGAGATTAATGCAGGACAGAGGAAAAGCAGATTATTTGAAGATAATGATTGAGAGACGTAAAAGAATTTTGAGATTATTTCAAAATTTATTGCATAACAATATTTAAATGGTAAGAATCATAGAAAAAATTGATTATTAGAGATCATGAATGGAGACGCTCTTATAACGAGTAAATTATTTCTTAAAATAGAAGGAGAACCTTTAATTAAATGGACACTCAAATAAGGAAAGTGAGAACCTTTCAACAGGACATAGAGCCCGTTTGGTAATAGCCAAATCGACTGTATTGGCTAATTCTGCTGAAATTTATGAAGTTCTGGCTGATGTGGCTGTAATGGCTGATTCTGTTGATTTGTGAAAAATGATAATTTAAAATACATTATATTAATAAAATAAGGGAAAACTGTCAAATAGGTTCTCGAACTTTCATAAAAAGGTCAAATAGGTCCTTATATAGGAGGCTCTGTCCGGCCGTCGCGATTTGGGGCGGTTCCCGATGGAATTTTTTGATGAACATTTTTTAGCATACACGGGGTTAGAATGTGCATATGGATGTTATGCAGTTATGCTTGGCACATTAATTTCTTTTCAAAGAGCCACACAAAGACCAACAGTGGAAATCACACAGGGGTTGTTTGGATTCCAGCGTTTTCTCCGCCACACACGGCTAATCGCAGTGTTTCCTTTGTAAAAAAATTGGCGTTTTGCTCCACACGCCAATATCCAAACAACCCCGTAGTGTAAGATGAAAAAACTAAACAAAAAATTGAATACGCTGTGATTTGTTAATTTTTTTTCGAAAATGTATACTCTGTGATTTTATATAAAAATATTATGTTTCAGTGAAATCTCAACAACAATCAAGGGGTTATATCTTTTTAACTTTGGCTCAAGATCCTGAGTATCATTTGGCACAGGTATTAATATGTCTCTTCCTCTACATTTTCTTTTCCTTTTTGAGCTTGAACTTTATTCCGTAAATCTTTGGAGTAAACTAAACATGCCTTTCTGTACAATTTTTAATATCAAACTTTCATTTTTTTCAAGCTTAAATAGCTAGTAGGTTTTTTTTATATAGTAATAGGTAAAATGATCAACATATAGTTACAAAAAAACACTGGCAGACATTTAGTTATGATGCTGATTACTGGTACAGAGCTTTTAATAGTAATTAAATAAGTAATTAATTAAAATACATCAAATTTCAAATTTTAAAGCAAAACAAAATCTCAGATCAAATGCTATGCTACTCTATATTAAATTTGCAGATTGCCGATGCCGTTGTTGTTGCTAAACACCTTGGAGCTACACTTGTCCTTCCAAACATAAAAGGAAATGAACCAGGGAAGAAAAGGTTAGTAGTACAATTGTACCAGGTTCATTTTATTACTCCGGTCTTTAACTAGAAAATTTATTTATAATCTAATACTTGATCTGTATTTAGCATAAAAGAAACTTTAATTTACAATATATAGTAAAAACAGATGGATAGTATACCGAAGTAAACCGAATCGAACCAAACCAAAAATAACTTATGATTTTTGTTTGATAATAATTTTTCCAATCCGTTCCAAACCGAACTGAAACTGATAAAAACCGAACTGAACCTAGACAGTGAATTGGTTCATTTTGAATTGAATGTTGTTTCGAGTTTATATTCAAATATTATGGGTTTTGGATGTTTTAAAATAATGTGTTTTGTGTCAATGCTATATATTTATCATATTTGTATCTAATATACTACTTAGATGACTTATTACTTTTAGGTGAGTTAAATGCCAATTTAATATGCTATAAGAGTGTAATATGATTGTAGTTTGTATGTTTGTTTGACACCATGATTTCGGATAGTACATTAGAGATCGGTTTGGCCATTTCTCCCCACCCTAGTTTGGATTGATAGGGCGTGTTAAGTTCATGTATTGAATATTTCTCAAATTTATACATCTTGGCAACAATGTATGTTCAGGAAGTTTGGTGATATCTATGATGTGAAGAAGTTTGTTGAAAGCCTGGATAAGAAAGTGCCTCTAGTTATGGATCATCAAGCAACAGAAATATCCAACCAAAAGGTTAACAAAGTGAAGGTTCCTAACATGGTTTCCAAAGAGTTCATCAGCTCAAAAGTTGAGCCAGTATTCAAGAGCACGCCAAATATAAGGATTGCCACTTACTTCCCAGCATCAATGGAACAAACAAGAAAACTAAATCCATATGCATGCCTGGCTGTGTTTGACACCCTCAAGTTGAGGCCGGAATTGCAAGAATCTATAGACACAATGGTATTAACACTAAGAAGTCTCAGTTCCCATTCACAAGGCCGATTTGTCGCGGTTGATTATAGGGTGGAGAGCCTACCCGAAGGCGGTAGTAAGTGTCCTGACAGTGAAACATCAACCCAAAACTGCATTGATGCCAATGATATAGTTATGCATTTACAAAAGATCGGTTTTCCCAGAGAAACAACCATTTATTTGACACTAAATGGGTGGGATTCAAGCCTTGAACATTTCCGAAAAGCCTTTCCCAACACTTACACCAAGGTAAATTCTATGTTTTTTTTTTGCATTATCAATTCAAAAGTTGCTTGGCTTGCTCTTAGTTTATTCATCAGATTTTCTGTGTCAATCCATCATACATTAACCAATTATAAAACAAGAAGCCATATATAAGACTACAGATTACACTTCTTGATAAAGAAGAGTAATCAATGAGTTGGGCAATGGGGGTAAAATGGTAAATAGGTATTCCTGCATATTTGATATAATCTTTATTCATTAGGGGGGGTAAATATATAAATTACACCCTTGGCTAGCCCATTGCCTGATCCCTTTCATACTTCACTCTTACTTATCATACTAAGTTCTCCTTTTCTAATGAAATGCATCAATGTTAGTGTTGAGGATCGACAATATATTAACAGTTAGATTTTGTTTTTTTGCAAATAAAAAATGATGCACAACTTATCTATACATGGGATGGGTTATTGGTTCCAAAGTTGCTTGTTTTGGACTTGATTTCATTCACTCCATTCTCTATGTAAGCTATAATAAGTTACACATCAGTCAATCTAGAAAACATGAAGCCATCATATATTCATATATAAGAATAATAAGACACCCGATCACTCCTTTTAATACGTTGACTTTTGTAAGGAAATGAATCGATATTAATTTTTTTGTTCTAAAATATTAAGAAAAAAGATAAAATAAAAAACAGTGCAACATTTTATACATGCATGAACATAACCTTCATTGAAGATTGATCTTATTGTTGCAACAGGATGTAATCATCCCTTCGAACGACAAGTCAAAGTTCTTGGATCCTGAACATCCTGAACTCAGACAGATTGTGGACATATATATATCTTCAATGGCAGATGTTTATGTACCCACATCATCAAACATGTTTAATGACAACATTGTGGCAAGGAGAATCGCAGCTGGAAAGACCCGAGTTCTTGTGCCAGGCAAGGGATCATCGGACTCTGCAGATGACTATGTTCCTGCCTACATATCCATGAAAAGGCATTGGGCATATTCATGCTTTTGTTGATCAAATCAATTAAGTCAAAATAATGGATGTTTGATAAGGTGATGAATAATAAGGACAGAATGTCCAAGTTAAGTAACTATCTATCCATCTACCGCCTTGTAAGTTTTTTTTTTTTTTGAGGGATACCGCCTTGTAAGTTGATAACAGTTATAAGGGTCAAGTCTTAAATCTTGTGAAATGTTCATATGCACCTAAGTTTGATCTTTTTCAACATATGTGTTGTTCAGAAAGTATTGCATTGAATTAATTAGAATGCCTCAATTCATTACAGTTCCAAAAGCCTTCATTATTCCCATTATTTGACACCAACCAAACCGCAATGGTTGCACAACTCATATACTTATATAGATGTGTGATGTGTCAGCGGTGGAGCTAGAATTGCCATATTAGGGAATGAAGCTTGAAATGATTAGACTTGGGATATTCCTCCCAAAACTTCATATTTCAACATATTTGTTTATAATTTAAAATTTTTGGTATGTGATTGGACACCACATTTTTTTGTGGGGGAGGGGGGGTGTGGCCCCCTCTAGCCCATTCTTCACTCCGCCAGACCGCCACTGACAGGTGACACCACGTCTATCCAACAATACTTAATTAGCTTCTTGGCTTATAACAATAGCCCCTGTTTCAATATCCTATTTCAGAGTCTTGGAAATGTGTTTAAGACATGGAGTTATATACTCCTATGAAACTGGGCAGATAAAGATGAGATTAATGCATAAATGCAGCAAGAGACACAGACAAGAATCGGTATCCACACAAAGATCACATATATGAATTTAAATAATACATCCACGTACATGATGACATCCTCTAAAATTGAATCCAATACAAAACTATTTCAGAAGCATCGATATAACATATAATCGTGAAAGGGGAATAAGATATGACTATCAGCTATCGTTCTATAACTACCATTTTCATCACAAGAGCATAAATTTATTTAAAGCTCTACAGACCTGGATTATGAACACAATCTAACTAATGAAGTAATATAACCTTTGGGTGCACTGTGGTTTAAAGAACTTCAAGGTGGGGCTACACAGATTCATCACCAAGGCTTCCATTCTGTGTACACAATCTAACTAATGAAGTAATAAAACCTTTGGGTGCCCTGTGGTTTAAAGAACTTCAAGGTGAGGCTACACAGATTCATCACCAAGGCTTCCAGTCTGTGTACCACCATTTTCTCTGTGCTCCTTCAGTGTTTGTGAAAGCGGAGGTTGTCTAATGGCAGCTTTTGCAGCTTGCTGCTTGGATTTCAAATTCAGGTAAGTGTAGATAGTCATACCAACGAGAGCTGTAGTTGCCCCCAAAATGCTAGTCACTCCGGGATTTGAACCAAAAAGCAAAAAGCCAGCAAGCAGGATGACACATGTTTTGAACTGTCCAAGGACGACGTGAGTGGTGGCAGATGTTTCTCTGCAGGTCAACAGGGAGAGTGATTTTCAGAGGAATATATTACACATTGACAAAATATTTCTTTAATGGACTGTTTGATAATTGATGAATCACCAAAACATCTTGCAGATTTTATGGGTTACTAAAGGAGTGGTTCCAATTTCTTAAAAAATACTTTTCAGCTTTTTGCTTTAAAATAGCTAAAAGTAATGTTTTCAAACCGATGCTCCTGCATAAAGTTAAGCAGTTTACAGCTGAAAGCAAGGAGGATGTTTAAAATGCTTTTCACTTTTTCTATTACACAAAAAAGTACTTGTTTGCCAACCGCTACCTATTACTTTCTTAAAATCACTTATCTTCAAACACTATTAATTTTTACTTGTAATCACTTTCAAAAGTAGAAGTAAACGAAAAACTCTCTAAGACTTTTAATTGAACTAGCATACATAATGGAATTAATCGTCTAGTGTGGTTTGGCCCAAGTAAGTTATGACCCAGATGAGTGAGCCCCAACTAAATCCTGATTTATGTCAAGGTATCCTGACCCAGAGTAGGTTTTAGCCTACTCTGCATGGTTAGCTTCAAAATGGACCAGCTGTCTACTTTTTGGGAAGTGTTATAATGTTACATCTAAAAATTAGAGACAGAACAGTGAGTTAATAAGCCTCTGGGTTGACCGAGTTTATAATTGGATTCAAGATTTCAGTGTGGTTTGACCCAAGAGTCTTATGGTCCAGTTGAGAAATCCAGAGTTCCAGACCCAATACTGAATTCTATAAATTCCTATCTGCACACTTGCGAAGTAATAGAATATGGCATTTTGACATTAAATTGAAAAGTCACTGCAGATGAAAAGTTCTTGTAAACAAAGAAATACAGGTGCTACTTGTTTACTTCACTTAATAGATTACACAAGTTACTCACCCAAGTGCAAGAGCACCTGACCACTGAAGTAAGAACCCAAGAACAGCAGAAGCAAGAACAATTGTGGTGTTATACACATTCCAACGGAAGGAGAGGACACCTGGTGGATCAAGTGATGGCATCAAAAGAACAAGGAAGAACACTGTAATAGGTGTGGTCTTCCACATTAGCCTGGAAACACATAAGATTAACATCAGAAGTTTGCAGATTAACCCCACACCACAACAAAATTAAAAGGTAATAACTACTTATTATCAAAAATAAAAAGTAATAAGAGAATAACAACGGCATGAGACCATACGCTAATGCAGTCCAGTTCTTCTGCTGCTGAAGGTTAGACCATAGTATCTTATTCGTTGCACTTGGCACTATCCAGGCAACTGCTATGCAAGCACCAAAGAAGTGAAATTGCAGATCAGTCACTGTGGCTATTGCAACACCTATGGATACTAGAGTAAGTGCAATCACCTGAAACATACCAAATGATCATTTTCAGGGACAAGCTATCTTCTTTCTTACAATTATACATTTCTACCATCTACGAACAAGTGGGTATTTATACAGGATGTTATACTTATAAGAATCTTGATATTGTTACTAAAACAGCTTGAGCAATGTACGTATTAAAGATTCAGATATCTCTACCATCTTCAAGCAGGTTTATCATTTTAGCCTTGCTTGGGGTGTTACACAAAGACTATCGTCTGAAGACCCCCATGATAATATTTTTGGATATTATTGGGATATTTTGATATGGATTGACTTCCTGATATTGTGTTGCTATTGGTGGTAACCTCATCTCTTAGAAAACTGAGAAGCAATTAGTCAACACAGATCAAGTGTTCAAATATACTATTGAGGTTGATTGTCATTTCATAAATAAATAAAGTCATGATTTGACTCATTAATACTGAAGATATTAGTTCTACATTAGTTCTGATGGGAGATTGATATTATCACCAAGCCACTGAGAGATCCTAGAATAAAACATATTTTTAACAGACTAGAATTGTATGATTTGTTTGATCCAGCATGAGAGAAGGGGTTGTAGATTTTAATATTTAATTGTTACCCTAACCCTAGCGTAGCCCTATGTGTATTTCCTAAGTCCTAACCAGTCTAGTATTATGTACTTCGTATTTGGTATTGGGGCTTGATGCAGTGGTGGTTCGTAGGATGCCCCATACTTTGAAGAATTGAAGTAACTCTTTTGGGGTCAGTTTGGACCTATTTGTTCATCCCTTAAGTTGCCCAATCTGGTTTAAGCTGAGGGATGTGTTGACTATGTTGCATCAGGTGTGTATTGCGTTTGAGTGTTGTATATAGAAGTCTAGGACTGCAGGGGTACCTCACCTCTTGAAGATCTTATATGGTAAGTTAGACTCAACTTAACTACTAATACTCTTACAATTACCTTCTGGCCAGAAATTTTCTTCTGGAAGAAAATAAACTCAACAATCACGATCGCAGGTGTGACTGCAATCTTAGCCATTTGATAAAATCCAACACTGCATATGTATTCATTAAGGCATTAAGATGCAAAGGAAAGAAAAACATATGGAACAGAATAAGCACCATAGGGCATACCTGTTGTATTTCAAGCTGACATTTGCAAGACCAGTAGAGAGAGACATAACTATTCCGAGAGAAACCAACGAAGAATATTTTGTTGACTTTGGAGGCGGAGAGAGTGAAAGAATGGAGAAAGCCTTCAAAATGGCCATTATCAACCAGCTAAATATGTAGTGGATAAAAGTTAGACATATTGGATAGTTGAACCCGACTTCGACGAGAACCTGTGTAGGGTAAAACGTTATACTCTATAAAGATGCTACTGCAGTAAGTGAAAGGAATGATGCATAGTTAACTAACCAACTTGTTCATCAATATAATGCTAATAGATACAACAAAGTTGAATGATAGCGCAACGATGGGTCCCCATAAGGTCGGTTGCTGCCGCTTTGCACCTCCAAATGCCCTCAATTTGCTTAACAGAGATGATCGTGTCTCCTCTAATGCCTTTCCTGTGTGATGAAATTAACATATATCTCATTTGCTTAACTAATAAAGGCACTTTCACAAAAAAAAGATACTTTATTTCTTAATTTGGTTTCAAGATACTTCATATCAACATTGTACTATTATTGGTGCCAATCAGAATCCTTTCATTCTTGAAGAAAAACAAAGCTCAACCTTTTTCAACCTAAGATCCATCCTCAGGAGCACATACCAATTAACTTAATTTAATCAGTGAAAAGAGGGTCAAATTAAAAAAATGAAAAGCAAAACAAAATACATCTTTTGGGCCTTTTAACTGCAGAGATGGCAATAAGTTAAAGAATTGATGTTTCAGCACCTACATTAAGTAATGGCTCACCTCAAACAGTAAGTCTTGCCCTGGAAGACTCAACAAAATCCAGAAGAAATGGAATGAACAAAATGCAGAACAAAATCAAGTTTTTTATGAAAAGATCCATCCCCATAGACACTCATAACAAATTAATCTCAACTAAAAAAATTGAAAATCACAGCCTTTGAAAATGGGGAACAATTCTCAGTCTTTCTCCCAAATATACGCAAGATGCCAAGATATAAACTTCCCAACACCACAAAAAGTGGAAAAAGCTTACCTATATCCCCAGCATCACTATCCTTGCGTTTGAGAATTTTTTTGACATCTTTTCTGTTAAGAAAACTCAACATATCTTCACTCAGCTAAAATCTCAGTTCCGCTCATGCACAGAGCACAGTAATGGTGTTCTTCTCACAGCATTCATCACTAGTGGGAGGCTTTTGGCGAACTTGATTTGGCTACTTTGCGTAATAAGAGAGGTTAATCACTTAATTGGTGGAAGAAAACCGGCTCCACTCTTTCCTAAGTTCCTTGGCCTTATTTCTTTGTTTGGCTTTCCTTTGTAATGTGCAAACGAATATGGAGGGGTCAGTTCATTTTGTCATCGAAGTCTTTATGTTGCACGAACATAAACTTAGAAATATGGGGCATGTATTTAATTTGTGTAGACAAATATGTAAAAATATTAATTTCATGATACAAATGCGGAAGAACATTTATTATAAATATTAAAATACATGAATGTATTTGAAAATATACAGAACTATAGAAACACATTTATGTGCGCTTAAATACTTTCGCATCTTCAGTGGCTTGTTTGAAACACAGATGCACTTGGAAGTAAACACCCCATATTTTTCCTTTTCTTTTAATTTTTTTGGTGCCTACTTCGGTCAGATATATTATTAGAGTTTTTAATATTCCCCCTAATTTGCTAATATATCTGATGATAGAATTAATTAACATCAAACAATATTTGAATTAATATTAATATTTAAAATCTACATATTTAGAACTTAATACCTATAATACATTAAACTCAATTCAAATATTACAAAATAGTACTCCCTTCTTCGGTTCTTCCCATAAAACTCAACAAAAATGCCCCTCGATCAGAAATGTGTTGAAGGGTCGATAAAATTGTTAATGGAGAAACATTTTTGTCTTTTCATACGGGATTGAGGTGCAAAAACAAAGAGTTTTAAAAACGAGATACAAAGTTCAATGTGGACAATAAAATGGGATGAAAACTCAAATTGCCCCTTAAGAGAGTGGGAACAAAGTAAAAATATATGATTGTGAATTGTGATTAAGTAAGAAAAAGGTAAATGACTGTTAGTCACACAAAACTTTTCAAAAAGAAAAACTGGTAGATTTTTTTTTAGATATCTCTAAATGATAAATGAGGAATTTTATAGAATGTGAGTGGCAATATATATAATCAGATTATAGTAGGGAGTGGTAGACCAAATAAATCATGAACATAAAGTCACTTTAGTATATAGGGAGAGTATTTTAACACAATTTTTGAAGAAAGATACTCGAGAAAAGTATTGAACGAAGAAAATATTTCCAACATATTTTATTGGTTATAATAGTGCATGAAAGGTGACAAAACAATGCTCTACCGCTGCAGTTTCAAAATAGGTAGTGAACTTCAATTTTTGCATGTAATGAGTATTGAACTATTATTTTTACCTCTACCTCCAGATTCCAATCAATGTTTGCTTTTATACTAAACCAAAACCCATGTCTACATTGCATTAACTTTAGTGATGTGGTACTTATAATTAGATTATTAATAAAGTGTCCACAAATGAAAATGTGCATTAATTTTACACTTAAGTATTTGGATTTGAAATATTACAAACAAACCATCATGGCCTCATGGGAATATTGGATGAAGTGGTATGCCAATTGCTCAACATACAATCACCAACTAGGTAGCATAATCTTCTTTTTATATGGGATGCGGCAATATAATAATTTCAAAAGAAAAAAAATAATAATAAAACATGCCAGCCTAACATGATTCTTTAATTTAGAGCAACAATACCCAACAAAAAAGAATTCTTTAGCAATAATAATTCTTGCTGGCAGAGCATGGCTAATCAAATGAAATAAAAAGGAACTCTAAGCCATGGAAGCAGCCTTCTTCTCTTCCTCAAGCTTCTGCAGCTCAGCCAGTCTTTCAGCCCACGCCCTATCCCTTGCAACTGCAGCCATCTTTCGCTCAACTCTTTTTATTAGTTTCTTCCTTTTCGCTTCCTGCACTAATGCCGTCCGCTTCTTCTTTTCGGACTGCACACACGATTTAAGAGTAACTTTATCACAAACGAAATGCACTTTTCTTGCCAAGCATTCTATGAGTTCCACACAGAAGACTGAAGTAACCATTCAAATGCTTTGAAATTTGCATTACTCGTACCACATTGCATGATTTCAAAAGTAACTTATAATTTGTAATTCTAAAAATTTTGCTTACGAGAAAGTAGAGTTTGGGTCATAACCTGAATCGATTTAGTGTCTTTTAAGGTATGTTTGGATCATCGAAGATGGTAGGGAAGGAAACAAAAATGATGATCACATTTTTTTAATGCTGCCTTGGCTCAGAAATGAGGTGGGTTTATGAATTTTTTTAATAATAAAAATATGTAGATCCTTTAGCCTTCAGATAATAGGAAATATAATTACAAATGATAATGAACAAATATCTAAAATTCTGGTCCAGTATGTGCAAATAATGAAAAATTTGAGGGATTCATCCGTGATGATGTCATATTTAGTGGTTGTATGGGTGATAAGCCCACCAATATAAATTTTACCGCCCCCATTTGATTCTTTGATTTTGTGGGGGGAAATTGCCTTCGCAATACTCACATAAGGGGCGTCAGGAAAAAAACTCTAATTGGTACGCATTAATCAATGGACTAGCTCTGATGGTTGTTTGGACATCCAAGAACACAATTGCATAAAAATTTGAGAAAAATGTGCTACACCGGATGTTGAGCGTGATCACGCAAATTTGATGCAACCAAGGTTGTTAAACTCGAGATCCTAGCACAGATCGGAAGGGGTCTAGGAGATCGTAACTTGGGGATCGTAACTCGGATCGTAAGATCCTAGAATCCAAGCAACCATGCATATATATATATAGATATAAGATATATATGTATGTATGTGTATATATAAATTTATAACCCTATTTATTCACTGGATTAATACTAATATTAATAATGTCAACTTTCAAAGATATAAAATGAAAAGTTGATAAATTTAAAATGACATATTTGTACAAAAGCACAACAAGCCTTGTATTCACTGTGTCAGAACCACTTTTTGTCATATCATTGTGATATCCAAGAGAGTCGGTCGGTAAATGAAATCAGATAAGTAAATGACATAAGGCAGAGATGTCATGAGAACAGCACAGAAGACCAGAAGAAGTGGACAAGCAGATGCTATAGGGACGAGGAGTCGATGGATGATTATCACCGAATCAAAGCTGTTTTTCTGAGAAGAAGATGATGAGAAGTGCAGACCTGCAGAACCGAAGAAAGTGTTTGGTCCGTTCGCAGGTAAGCAGGTGATGCATGGGGAAGCTTAATAACTCATTACGTTTTCTATAGCTCGCGTTGTTTGAGGTGTCGTTTCCGATGATGAGCGACGTTTCTTTATTTACTCTCGTATTCGACGCAAATCGACGTTTCTGCGATTTTACGTTCTAACTCGTCGATCCTGCGATCCTGATATGATTTCCGATCCTAGTTACGATCCAGATCACCCCTCCACCTTCTACTCATAAGATCGGACGATCTTGCGAGTCAACTCGCGATCTTAACAACATTGGATGCAGCCACGTTTTCCTCTCCAGTAATCCTCTTCCACAACTCTTCTCCATATGTAAAATCCAATTCATGGTTAGAACCCATGGTGGGTAAACCAAAATGGCAGGTCATTCTCTTCTAGCTCATTGTTCGATCAACATTGAACAATCGGAACTTAATGTAATCTCTGTTATCCTCATCAGTCCATTCCTCTACCAATCAATCAATCATCATTTACCCCAGTGCCGCAAAGGCTCCCACCTACGGTGGGGTAAGGGGGGGTCGGATGTACACAGTCTTACCCCTGTACTAAAGCACAGAGAGACTGTTTCCGGATGACCCATAATAAAAATCGCGTCCAAAAATTGCATGGACTGACTGCTGCTTCATAACAAAGAAGCGCAGACAGTTTGGTGAGCCATTTTGCTTTATTCCATCATATTCTCAAGTCAAAAAATAATGAATCTTTGGTATCATAAATTCATACATAATCTACTCATTGGTATCATAGCACATGTTGAATCAATGTTTCCATAGCCACCAATTCAAACAGTTGAGACATCAAAGCAAATATGTTTAAAGCATTTAACATGGCATGACAAAGGAACCGAGATAGCATTACCTCCCGGTCGGTTAGAGTGATGAACTTGTTTCGTTGTTCTTGGGTGGCGAATTGGACGCTCTTGTATCCCGGGACTGGTGGGAATGTGGGATGGGTTGTGAAGACCTTGAAGATGACTCCCCTTTAGCTCTCTTACTAGTCACTGATGAAATTTTGAGGAATTTTAGAGGGTTGGGCGAGTTAGGGTTTTGGGGGGAATTTGAGAAAGTTGGGGATGAATTGTGGATTGAAGGATATTTTAGCTCTCTAGTCGTGGGTTTGGAAGATAAGAATGGATTTTTCGACTTGCCCGACCAGGTTTAATGAGCTGGTTTTTCCGCTAACCCGGTTGGTTTTAGGACAGCCCGATTGGGTTGTGTATCAGTAAGTCTAGTTTTCAGAAAATTCCTGTAACATGGTCGGGTATTAGGCCAACCCAATCGGGTTGTGTGATTTTTTAAACGGGAAGCTCGATAGAGTTTGCAAACACCCGAGCATTTTGATTTTAAAGTACCCGGTCGGGTAGGCAACGGTTTTTTCCGTTGATTGTTAATTTTCGGTTCACATAGCACTCTATCTGCGTTTCATCGAAAAATGCAAAGGAATCGTTCATCTTATACGTAGTACGTAGTAGCATTTATCGTTGAATACAATCGTCCCCTCGTAAGTGACACCTTTTTCGAAATCAGAACTCTAAAACACCTAATCAGCTTATTAAACACTTGAAGGAGTTCAAGATGAAGGAGTTCTAATGCTTCTCTACTGTTGAAAAAAAATCATCCAGTGGGATTTTTATCAAGCTTTCACAAATTCATCTAATCACTATGTAACCCAAGATTCAGGCCCAACTTCTAATCACTATCTAACCATATTCGTAGAATTCACAGGCTTCAATGAGTTCATACGTTCAATCCCAGACTCCAAGCTTCGGGAATCAGCTCCCCAGCCTCTACACTTCTTCTAATCAACTACTTCGCAATCAGTAAGTCACTGTCCACTTCTCCAGCCTCCACCGCCTGTCTGCCACCATAGCTACCCTAAGTCCAAACTCCAAATGTCCAGTCGACACTATCATTCAGTGGTTTCACTCCTTTGTGATATTACTATTTGTTATATTTTCCATTTTAGTATGTATTTTAGAATTAGAAAATACTCTGTATCAATCTAGGTATGTAAAAATAAGACGCAAAAAAGAAATGAAGAGTTAATTAATGCTGGTAACTTGAATTTTCATTTCATTGTCTTTATTTTCCTGATGAGATGCTTTTCCTTACGAGTTACGATATTATAATCTATTTTCCTTCCAAAAATCCCCTAACGGCCGAATATTTTCCGAGTTCAAAACTCCCTAAAAGACAAATGGTCAAGACAATGCACCATGCTAAAGCATAAGATCAGGAAAAAGGAACTGATATAACTAATACGAACATACCAAAATAAAAGCCTTGTGCTGCCTGATTCTCTTCTTCTCATTCCTTCTCTTGACGCTTCCTTCATTAGGGTGCTTTTGGGGTTTTGGATCATGAGGCAAACGCCTGGCAACGCCAGAATAGGGCCCTACATTCCAGTAATAAACACTCAAACTATAGGTACTTTATTTTCTTATGAAGTAAATGTTAGGGGTCAGTTTAATTTGCCAATTTCCTTATGTTATTTGTGAGTCAACTTTCCATCATTTGCAATGGAGCCAAAGATTCACTATTTTTTGGCTTGAGAATATGATGGAATAAAGAAAAATGGCTCACTAAACTGTCTGCGCTTCTTTGTTATGAAGCAGCAGTCAGTCCATGCAATTTTGGACGCGATTTTCACTATGGGTCATCCAGAAACAGTCTCTTTGTGCTTTAGTACATGGTAAGACTGCGTACATCCGACCCCCTTACCCCACCGTAGGTGGGAACTTTTGCGGCACTGGGGTAAATGATAATGAATGGTTTAGGTTTCTTTCCCATTGTTAATTTATGACTTCTCTTTGTCTATGCAAGGCTTTTAGTTTGAATAAAATAATGATCTGTGGAGTAATAATTTTGTTTTAAGATTTGGTGGAACTGTTCATATTCTTCTCTGACTAGGGCAAGAAGTTGAAATAGCTATTCATATATTCCTACGAATCACCATAGCTCATCAAACAGTTCTTCCTTCATATCATCCAATAACTAGGACCAGAGTGTGCAGGGCTGCATAAATAGTAGCCAAATCCGTAAAGTTTCTTGAGTGAAAAGTTCCAGGTTTAAGTATTTAAATGTCACCACATAACGAATAGCAATGTACAAATCACAAAAAGCTGATCACTTCCTTAATGTCTACTGCCTTTCCTTCAACAGTATATCTACAAGCTTATAATAGTGTTAGTTAAAGCTGCAAACTTTCCAATCTCGAATGCGAGAATCGCCATAGATACAAATAAAATCCTTAAAACCATAACTACAGTGGTAGTCACTAGAGAAGGGAATAAACGCTTAAATGAAAAGAGACCTGGTGGTTCTGGGGCTGGTCTTTTGCGCTTGGTCTTTAGAACGGGTCTCCTCTTCGGGTACCGGGTGTCCGTTAAGCTGTGGAAGGCGGTGGACGGCGGAATCCAAGGTAGCTTAGGGCGAAATGGTAGGCGGATCTCAGGCGATACAGAAGATAATAAGGTGGCAGGCGATGTAATGGACGAAAAAGAGTAGATGTTCCGGTGAGAGAAGAAGAGTGCTCTGGAAACGGGTCGGGAAATGGATCTTATGGCTCCCAAACCCATGGTAGCGTGTAGGTGTGTAGTCTCGCCGCCGTGTTGTTTTGTGCAATGTCAATCCGGCGAAGACTACTTGAAAGAGGTTTTGTGCAATGACAATCCAGCTAAGATTGTCCCATTCTAGGGGAAGTCCACTAAGATTGTCTCATATCAATTCTTACTTTATTCTTACTTTATCAATTTAATATCAACCACACAAACACACTTTTCTTAATAATCGTGACACCTTCTTCCATCCCAATCTTAGTGGGACGGAGGTAGTAATAAAAAAAAATAAAAAAAGGGGAGGAATTTGACTTAGAATTCCATTTGACTTTGCACCGCTCTTTTTGGGTGATATTGGACTTTGCATCCTATTTTTTTAAAACTTTGACTTTGCACCCCAATACATACCATTTTGTGAAGAAAAAGTTATACATGGGGTGCAAAAGTCAAATGATTTTAAGTGGAATGGAGTGCAAAATCAAAGTTTTTTCAAAAAGGGGTGCAAAGTCCAATATCACCCAAAAAGTGGGGTGCAAAGTTAAATTCCCCCATAAAAACAATGAAGCTACTTTTTTAATTGAATTGGCTAAAGTTACTATATAGAATAATTTTAGATATTTTCATATATTTATTTTTTATTTCATTAATATAAGTATAATTTCTTCATAATTCAACGCATTCAACCATTTTAGTCACTTCAGTTACAATTTATCAATTTCAGCATATTCAGCCGTTTAAGTATATTTCAGTATTCCTAAACAAGATCAAAATGAAACAAATATAATTCTTCACGGGATATGAATTCTATAAGAATAAATTAGGTCTAAACATCCACATTTATTTTCATTAGGAAATCCAGAATTGGGAGGATGACTCGCAAACTCAATCTTGTTATGATCCATTATATTACACTAATCAATGAGTAAGAACTACTCCATACGTTCCATATTCATCTTCACAAGTACATTTGCACACAAATGAAAATAGTGGAAAATGTGTGGTGGAGAGTTGTGCAGAGGAGGGACAAATGTGTAAGAATATGTAAAAATGGTTGTGAATCACAAATTCTTTGTCAAAAAAGGAAAAGAGGGTATATATTTGGGATGGACGAAAAAAGAAATTATGAAGATAATTCTAGGATGGAGGGAGTATAATTTTTACACAATTGTGAGTTTGTGACACACATAGTTACGGGGTATGAGAATAGGTGTATTAGAGCTTTGTTCTTAATAATTGTCTTCTTTTTAGTTTTTAGCTTGTTAAAATTTGTTTACTTGTGTATGGTTAGATATTTATCACTACGTAGTTTGATATGATGTGTTTGCAATTTAACAATGAAACACTATAATGCTTGACGGTAACATAAAAGAATTGTATTGATGCGATATTAATGGTTCTTATATTGATTCTTCAAAAAAAGAATCTACAACCATACCGATGTATTGGATTAATAGTTCTCCAAATGGTTTCTTGATTTCTTTCAAAGAACCAAACTACTCTCACCCTTACTTTTTTTATTCATAAGATGATAAATAAAAAATCATTTTTTTTATTTTTATTTAAATTACCTTGTGTATCAATATTGATTTAAAATCTCCTTGTTTAGATTTTATTTATCCTAAAATGATAACAATCATATTTTAATTGTATAAACTACTACACACTTCGTATTAGTTTTGTACTCCGTACTATTTATGTAATTAAAACCACACCAAATAATATCCAAAAATTATAGAATCTAATCAATCTATTATGTGCATGTTTTGCGTTGGGAAGTTCGGGAATCTCAAGACAGAATAACGGACTAGATTATTATCAGTTGTTCCCTCTAAGAGGGGCACAGTGGGCTATCACAGATGCAGCAGTTGGTAAACTCTGGTTTAGAGATCATGAGAAAAAACATGTGAGAGGTGAAACTCAACAAGGACACCACCACCCTTCACAGACATGTTGAGTTTTCTCCAAAACAATCTGACTGATCACAAACTTTAACATCACCAAGGGTCCTCTTTGCCAAAATTCTAATACTAATATATAAATTGATGAGACATGAACTTTAGCGGGTACAATCTCTAGGAACAAAATGAATTACCTGACGCCAATATGGTGTAGCATTGTACTCAAAATATCCTGTTTGTTGTCCAACATTCACACCAAACTTTGATCAACACTGATTCATTTCTATGGATCATAAACATTGCAATCACTTTACTCAATAGACCTTGTGAGTGAGTGTAGCTGGTATAAAAAAATTACAACACAATTTACATAGTGGGGTGCAATGCAGATTTGCTGCCTGGGTCCGTGCAATTTTGCTTGTTGTTATGAGGAGGGCATTTTCAAGAACATGAACCAGGCCGAAGTTCCACTCCTTCACTTTTCCATCTTGTCATGAAAATGCAGTTAACCCAAAGAAAAGAGAAGAAAAACGTTATTGAAGTTTTAGGTTAACTAAAACAGAATTGAAGAATATTATGGAACACCAACCACATCATACCTGCCTAAGAGTTGGGTAATAAGCGGCCGTTATACATCTTGTCAAGCAACTCCCGCGCGTCTGGCCGCCTCAGAAGACCTTTGCTGTTTGGCAGACCAGTCCCCAAACACACAGGGCATACAAGTTTTCCACGCCCTGCTCCAAGTACACACAAAAGATCACACTAAGTGTAAGAACTGTAAGCTTGGCAGAATAATTGTGGACATATTTATATGCATGAGCAGATATAGCATACCATAACAATTTGGACATTCAGTAAATTCATATACATCCTTGGCTCTCTTTCGATTTAGAGCTTTCCATTTCCCCGTACCACCACACATATCACCTAAATAGAAGTAATTCCCCAACTTATCAAGCACAACGTGACACCTCCAAAAAGTACAAGTTAATTTATACTCCCTTCGTCTCCAAAAACAGATTCACAGTTCAAAAATATTAAAGTCGTGTTTGATCAAAAGAAGTCAACTTTTCATGTAATTTTCCTAAAATATTGTCACAAACAATTTACATTTGATACATTTAGTTAAACCAATGAATAAAATGATATATTATAGGTAGAGAGTTATTGATCTATAGCAGTTACATTTCACCAAACTTTAAGTGTTGCATGTGGTCAATCGTGAATCTTTTCATGGACGGCATAGTACATAAATTGCTTGTGTAGTGTTGCAAAAAATAGCATTCATTCAATGCCTCATGTGCACAACATGAATATAGCTTCGCCTCTGATACATAGAAACTAGGGGGCTAATTAGTTTCCTCATTGTTCATGAACTAAATCTTTGTGAATAAGAAGTAATATAATTTAAACTTATTACTCGCTAACCCAAAGTCATTTATATGACGTGAATACTGAACACGTCTCTTTTGAAGCAGAACATTGTTTTAAAGAAATTAACACCTGTGTTGTACTTACAGATTATTGCACCACTACCCAAACAATTCCTGCACACATCTAGCACTTTTTTATCTGCGGCAATTGCTCTAAGGTCAGATAAAGGACTGGTATGTCCTCTCATCAAAGTGACAGTTGAACAGAGGCCTGTTAAACATAGACGTCGTGAAGTTGGCTTTTGAAGCTCCTGGATAAAATTTCAAGAGAGAGAACATAAATAAATTGAATTTAATATTCTGAGCCTCATTGATGTAGGTCATACGAAACATTAGTGAAAGTTTTGACATGTTTTCCCCTTTCTTCCCATGTGATTCTGAATGACTGAAGTTGATTGCCATTGAAATACATAGAAACGGATACCGCATATACTAGGCAGAGTACTTAATATTCAAATATGTCCTTAACCATTATTGTAATATTTAATATAAAAAGGGAAATTTCATTTCATTTGTTAATAACACAGCACTCATTGAGCAGTATTTAGGAGAAGGAAGCCTCCAACAACCTTCTTGAAGGATAGTTAATATAAGTGTGCATATTCCTAACCATGAGGGTTTCAAAAGTGTTTGAAGTAGAAAACCAAGTAATAAATCAGAATAACTATTCTCATAGAATGACAACCTTTTTTCTGGCGGGTTGTTCTGTGTGGCCTGAAATATCTGAAGGACTACCCTCCTCATCCAAGCTGCATCTCACTGATTTGTAATTGGCTGCCACCCAAAAAAGGGAACCCACACAAAAAAAAATATAACAATAATTTAGGCAGACCAGATTTATAGCAATAATAACTCAGAGAGAATCTATCTCTTCAAAAGTGTAACAACATAATATTCATTAGTTGAAAAAATATAAACAAATTAGTGCTTATAGATATATAATAATACCGCAAAGTCTAGGGAAGTTAGAAATACTCACAATTTTTCGAAGACGAATAATTATTAGAGTTCGAGTTAAGAACTGACATTGCAGGAAAGGATAGGTGACACGCCATTCTCGAATTCTCTCTCTCTCTGACAGCAACAGCGTGTTAGTCTCTCTTGTTTATGCAACTATCCACAGCCACGTATGGTCATCCAAATTGTCCAAAGTGTTTTTCACTATTCCTACTCCTTAAAAGGCAAGAACTTTTCACTAAACACAAATTAGTTGACTTTGGTCTAAATTGAGTTACAATGATGAAATAGAGTAATGTGTAGCTCTTCTCGGAGTAAAAGGGAAAGCAAGCGTTATGCTTAGTTACTCACTAAATCGACTGAAACATTTAACAAGTCTTTACTAACTATGCATAAGGTTAGGCCATAAACATATCAACAAATAGCTTTTCAAGAAATCCAATAGCTTCTCAAAAGAATCTCAAATAACTTTTTCCTTAATTCCTCAACAAATTCACATATAACTTCAAATAACTTTATCAAGTACTTTACCAATAAATATTTGGTTAAGAAAAGCGACTATAATTATTTGAAAATTTAATTATTTGAAAAATTAATGATCAAGCATAATTAAATGGTTCCACATACATACTCTAAAAAATTAACTCGTCTTCACTCTTCACAAGTTCCAAAAAGCTCAAATAACAAGTACAGACAAAAATATAACAACCTAAATTCATCTGTTAACAATCTAACAGACTTAAGAATCCGGGATAATGAAAATATAAAAGAAAGAGGGTTGCATGTCATCATCAACACCATAGTCATCATTATAACATATATTATTATCGTAAGTTGTCGAATACTAACAATAAAGGTTCTAACATTGGGAAAACTACGACCGAATGGGAGAAAGTAATGGAAAAACATGTCTGGTACATTTTAAGTGAATTAGTGAACAATAATACTAAGGCTCAGGTTTCGTACTGGGAGAGTTTTATAGAGCCTGCAATGGCTGTAAGGATGCTAATTGGCATGTCTCCAGCGCCAAGTTACGAGTCAGATTGACCCCTACCTCATATGTTAGGTTAAAGAACAAGCAAACATAATCACATTGAAGAAATGAGAGAGTATAACTGAAAGAAATAAAAGAAAGAGTAGTTAAAACAAATAAAATAAACCAAAGAAATTAATATAAGATCTAACACCAGAATAGGTCAGGTTATCTTAGGTGTTAAAAGATAATTCAAGTTACAAAAATCAGTCTAACGGAACAACTTTTCAAGTGTTAAACTGTTAATGACTCTACTTTTCAAATTTTTAATCAGTGCATAACAACCTGAAGAATGTAGTTATTTACAGGTTCAAGCAAGACCTTATACCAGAGACATATGTTCACATTCTAACGACAAATTATACACACTACACAAACAACTCTAACATGGCATCAGGGGCGGACATATAGTATTAAGAGGGAAACCATTGGCTTCACCTCAAAGAGTTCTACTAGCTTATATGGTAGTAGTATGAAAATTAAAAACCCCATTAGGCTACAGGTCAAGTGTTCAATTCTCCTTAAGGCTAAACCTGGATTCTAATTTTTTCAAGTGGGCTTTTTATTTTTTATTTTCAAATAAAAAGATGACTTAGTTATTCTAACTCATATAACACATTTTCTCTTAGTTTTTACTATTAATTTTTAAAGATTCTATTATTTGATAAGTTGGAGTGTTAGTTATTCTCAATCTTGAAAAAAGTAGCATTTGTCCTATTCAGCTTTTTTTGCTTCTAGACGCATTATGTGTCCCCGATTCTCGTATAGGAAGTAAAAAAATAGTCTAGGATCTCAATTAGGCATATCTACAAACACCTAGTGTGCTACAAAGAATTATATTTTGTTTTTCCAAATCAAGTTCATACGCATGCACTCAAACCTAACGCAAATTCTTAGTTACGCATATTAACAACACCTAGCATGCATAAAAAAATCCCTTTAATTAAAGGAGACACATGCTTGCAATACAATTTGATTCATCACCTGGGAAAAACAGAACTAGAAATCAGAATAGTAGCAAAAACAATAAAGAATGATATAGAATGGAATGAATATTCACAATCTTAGCATAGTCACCCCAAGTGCTTTTAGCCAGATACCCATTAAAAACATGTTTAACAATTTCTTCTGTAGGATGTTTATAGCAAAGGCATTTGGATGCAATCTATATTCCAATACTTTTTCCTATTGGCTTTTTTCTTGATTGCTCTCCAAAATTAAAACTAATAATTTTAGTAGAAATACAGTGATGCCAACATTTCCTTAAAGCCAATCAGGAGCTCTGGCCTAAGGAACTCTTTCATAGCTTGTAAAGAAATTAGGCCATTTGATTTAAGCCCCATCCAATAAGACATATTAGAATATCCTGCACTCATTGAACTTGAATCGAATAAGACACACCAGAATATCTATACCTGGAAACCAGGCCATTGGATTACTCTAAATGCATAAACAGGAAGCCCAAAAAATGAAAGGTAGTTACCATTAACAACCGATGGTATCAGATGCCGGCTTGGGCGGCTAAAGAGTAAAGATAAAGAGTCTTCTTAGTTCTTGCGAGAGGCTCAGGTGGAGAAGTCTGTGGGTAAAAATGAGCAGGAAGAGGGAGAGAGCGAGAGGTGCAGGTGTGAGTACGTTAACGGCAGCTAGAGAGTGTTGGAAAAAAAGAAGAGTTTTGCTCTTTGTACACACATTAGTACACACATCTATACCCACTATATATACCTAAAAAAAATTACCCCTTTCCCATTCTTTTCTTTCTTTTACCCCTTCTCTCTCTCTTCACCCTTACTTCTTTTCTTTCTTCTGCGACCTCTCTCCCTGATCTTCTCCGTTTCTTCTTTTTATTTTCATTCCCCTTTCTTCATTCTTCTTATTTTGTTTCTTCTTTCACCAACACAAACAAACAGTCGACCGTTTCAGCCATCATCGCCTCTCTAATATCCATTTTCCCTTGCTTCCCTTTAATCGATCATCCTTAAGTCCGAGTTCAAGAACGGTGGCGTGGTTGCAGCTGGAATCTGTGCAGCCGATCGACGAGGATGGGACAGTGGGTTTTGGCAGCTCAAAAAAGAAGCTACGAACAACAACCTGTAATATTAAGGTGATAATCTAATTCGATTTTTCTATGTGCATTTTAGGGTTACATTTATTTAAATTTCAAGGTTTTTTTGTATATTATGTATGATATAGCATTGAATAGTTGAGTATTTTGTATTATGGTAAGAGAATGTAGTCTTTGTTCTTGAAATGTTAGTTCAATCACTCCACTTCTCACTTATGCTCATAACATGTTTGTTAAAATGACTCAATGGTTTTTTGTTTAAATCCAAGACTTTCACTAAAATTTTCTATTAATTAGTTCAACATTCTAATGTACTTCTTTCCCAATTAAAATAATGACATAATTATTTTTATTTATTGGTTTATTTGATTATTATGTTTATGGTAGTTTATTTTGTAGTTTATTATACATGGGTGAATCCATGTAAATATGTTAAATGAATTATTGAAGCCAACTATACTTTGAATCAAATAGGTTACCAGATATGTTTGGAATGAGGTTAACATTGGTTTAATTTTTAGGAAGGATCTGAACACACTGCAAGTCTGCCCGGTTAATTTTTTTGCTGTTTGATCAAGATTCTGGAAGACTTTTGTGTATATGGGTAGATGTTTATCAATAAATGATGTTCCAGCTTTGAATTTTGTTCTTTTGGATCTGTCTCAAGTGCTATGAGGTATGGGACACAAGTAATGGGTTGGACCAGGCCTTGACGCAACATAATTTATACATTTGCATGACCGTTGAAGTTCAGTCATTGCTCTCGGTACCACCAGCACCAGCTTGAACGTGATTTAAAGAGAACAACTCTTATTTTGATTCATTGAGCGATTGACAATTGATATTTACCTATAAGCAGAAAAGAGAATATGTATGTATTCAATATGTTATCTTATTGATGAATATGTATTTAATAATTTTATCTAAAATGTCCACATGACAATGTGTACTTGTGATTTAAGAATGGTCATTTTGTTCTTTTATTTTGTTCGTGTAAAGTAATTGTTTGTATGTGGTTAAAATATTGTCTGTGTATGTTTTTATTTTGCATGTGTAGAAATTATGCTTTTAGTACATTTTTAAGTTCATGGGAAAATCGCATATATGGTCTCTCAGTCATTCACGAAATTAAAATCTCAGACCTGTATTTCTGAGATTGTAAATGTCACCCCTTAATTGTCCAAAATGTTATAAATGTGATCCTTTTGAGGGGTGGAATATACAATGTGAGCGGGAATACATTTCACTGCTTAAAGGACTACATTTACAATATTTTGGACAATTGAGGGGTGACATTTACAATCTCAAAAATACAAGTCTGAAATTTTAATTTCGTGGATAACTGAGGGACCATATATGTGATTTTCCCTAACTTCATTGAAAAATAAAATTGTTATTCATACTCATTTTGGTGACTTGTTGTAGATAATTTGTCTACGTTGGGGAAAAATAAATGAACACACAAACAATTATAATTTATGTCCAGACAAAATAAATGAACAAACAAACAAACAATATGTTAACCGTTCACAGACAATAAAGTGAAGACATAAATGATGTTTTGACGAAGCACTACAAGCACTACAAAATTAATGAAGATGAACCGTTAACCGTTCATTTATTCTACATACAAAATAAATGAACATATAAAAAATAATTTAACCACACATAGACAATATAAATGAAGACATGCGATATTTCGACTATTGACAAACAAAATAAAACCACACAAACAATGATTGTCTACACACAGACAAAATAAATAAACACACAAATAATTTTTTTTAATCACGCAGAGATAATATAAATGAAGACATAAGATAATTACCACATATGGACATTTTAGATATAACTAAAATGAATCATAATCACGCCCTAGCAACTTATATGAACATTTCAAATATAATTACCAAATACATATTGATGGAAACAAACTTTCAAGTATATACAAGTATTAAAGGTCGGAAATGGCTTTCACATGAAGCGTCTTGCTACAATTCAACATAAAACTCAGTTTAAGTTTAGGACAATTCAAGAAATGGAGAAACGAAAGGAGAATTTTGAGGGATGCACTAGTACTCCCAACTCTAAAAATGATGGTACTCTCTTTCTAGGACTCTGAGTCAACTTTGAAGTTGCCGCAATACATCTCACCCGACCTATCCACCCGCGGCACAACTTTCAGCTCATTTAGGGGTGCACATAGCTCTTTAAGCCTCCGGAAGAAGTGAAAAAGCATTCTGAGTATGGAAACAATAAATCACATATTAGTATTTCGCTCTAAATAACATACACTAAGCTGTCATATAGTGTAAGAACCATATCCAAAGACCACAACTAGGCTTCAAGAATTCATAATTACTAGCAAAGTATAAAAATGCAATAATATATTAATGGCAGTCACTCATCAAACATGATTGAGCGTCTATTTCATAAAGACATTTGATTCAATCACCATGCTCCTCATCACTGTAAAACTATATCCATTTATAAATGAGTAGTAAAAAAGTGCTTCAAGCAAAAACTAGTAAACCTAAAAACCAACCTTACAAAATAATTCATAAACCAACTTAAAACACTTAAAAACATAAAAACAGATTTATTGAACAAACTAGGGTCTGAACAAACCTATATCAATGTAAGAAAGTAGTCAAAAATTCAGCATAACATATACTCCACATAACTTACTTAAAATAGCAAAAGCATGCTAATCAAATAAATTAGTCAATAAAAACATACTACGTATAACATTATTTAAGTTGGGAAACAAGAAAGTTAGAATCTTGAACTAATTAGCAAAAAAGGAAAGTAAAAGTCTTGAATTTTAACAAAAATATTCATTGAGTCATTTCAACAAACATGTTATAAACATAAATGTGAAATAGAGTAATTGAATTAAAACTTCAATAACTAACACTACATTCTCTAACAATAATACATATTATTCAACTAATAAGCCTTGTAAAATACATGATATACAAAAAACTGGAAATTTTAATTAAAAGTAACCCTAAAATGCACAAAGAAAAATCGAATTAAATCATTACCTCAATATTATGGGTGGTTGATGGGAGCTTCTGGTTTGAGCTACGAAAATCCATTGTCACTTTGTTTGTGTTGGTGCAAGAAGAAACAAAAGAAGAAGAAGAATATAGAGAAGGCACGGAGGAAATCAGGGAGAGAGGTCGCAGAAGAAAGAAAAGAAGTAAGGGTGAAGAGAGAGAAGGGGTAAAAGAAAGAAAGAAAAGAATGGGAAAGGGGGTAATTTTTTTAGGTATATATAGTGGGTATAAATGTGTGTACTAATGTGTGTACAAAGAGCAAAACTCAAAAAAGAAAATGGTTTTCAACATTTGTTACTCCGTAGAAATTATATTGGCCACTTGAAGTGGCCATTCTCTTTACTAGAGTTTAGGATAGCAATTTTTTGGAAAATACTTTGGCCTTACTTTGGTAAATACGAAGTATATTTTTATTGAACATTATTTTAGGAAAAAAACTCAAAGCTAAAATGAGTGCTTTTTAGGTGATATCTCAAAAAAAAAGTGATAGTTTCTACTTAAATTAAGCATTTAAAAGCTAAAACTGTAAAGTAGATGGAAGGATGTTTTGAACTTTTTTTCCCTACTTTTTCTATTATACAAAATCACTTATTTTACTAAATGATGTCAACTTTAACTTTTTTAGAAGCATTTTTTCTCAAAATTATCAACTTTTACTACTAAACATTTTCTCCAAACATGAAACAACTACAATATTCACCAACATGCTTTGTTGGTGAATGATATTTACATACTAAAAAAATCTTGCCATAGAGTTGTGTATAAGAAAGTGAATACAAACATTTTCTTCTTCTCCAAAATCACTTTAAAAAGAACTTCTTAAAAATGGAAGCAAATACAAATACTCCCTAAGGATAACACAACTTTAATACTTAAAAGCTCCTTACCATTATTCATCATTATAAATTTACATTACACGTATAGATTTTGTTATACTAAAAGCTCCTTAATCCCTACATTCATGCGTTATTATATACTCCGTAATTTATACTACGGTATAATAATTTTATTTTGTATAAAGATAAAGATTGACAAATTAGACCATGATTGATCAAGTTTGTCAATATTTGACTCCATCGACCTTGGTTCACTTACATATCGTTAAAGTTTATTAAAACCTCATATTTTCAATAAGACAACCATCCATTCTTCATATTTCATTTTCTTGAGCTCCTATTTTTCATTAAACCCCTCATCCTGGAAGTTTTTTTACTAAGGTTGACCAAGATTTCCTGTGCTTGACCAAAATTGATCACATGTTACCCAGATAGACCATAATCGATCAAGTTTGTTGAGGTTTCATACAAGAGAGTTGTTTGTACATAATCTTGTCTGTTTCAAATGAAAGTTAGAGTCATTTTTTTTAGTAAATTTCTCATGTGAGATTTTTGTACTATGGTCAATCAAGATTTACCATGGTTGACCAATTTGGTTTTTACAAGTTAGCTTTGGTTGACGTTTAACATATGTTTGAACTTTCCATAAGTTTAGTTTTGTTCACCCCTCAAAAGAGGTGAACGTCACCCCCACCCTACATGGGCGTCATGTGACA